CCTCGGAACAATGAATCGACAGCCAAGCTCGCAGCCTTCTCAGAAACCATCGAGAATGAACGTATCTCAGCCTGGAGGACCAACGAATGCCGACTTGGCGAGTATTTTTGAATGTCCTGTGTGTTTTGATTATGTTCTTCCTCCAATTCTTCAATGTAGCAGCGGCCATTTAGTGTGCTCGAACTGCCGACCCAAATTGACTTGTTGCCCAACATGTCGTGGGCCTTTGGGCAGTATCCGAAATCTGGCGATGGAAAAGGTTGCCAACACGGTATCGTTCCCCTGTAAGTATGCTTCGGCTGGCTGTGAAGTAAACTTACCACATAATGAAAAACCGGAACACGAAGAATCTTGCGAGTTTCGTCCCTACTCATGTCCTTGTCCTGGGGCTTCTTGTAAATGGCAAGGTTCGCTGGACTCGGTCATGCCTCATCTGATGCACGCTCATAAATCCATCACAACCCTTCAGGGAGAAGACATCGTTTTCTTAGCTACTGACATAAACCTTCCTGGCGCCGTAGACTGGGTAATGATGCAATCTTGCTTTGGACATCATTTCATGTTAGTGCTCGAAAAACAGGAGAAAATCGAGGGACTTCAACAGTTTTACGCTATTGTACAGTTAATTGGAACTCGTAAACAAGCAGAGAATTTCGTCTATCGTCTTGAATTAAATGGAAACCGACGAAGGCTTGCCTGGGAAGCTACACCGCGAAGTATACACGAAGGAATCGCCTCTGCTATCTTAAACAGCGATTGCCTCGTATTTGATACAAATATTGCTCACTTATTTGCCGACAATGGAAATCTGGGAATAAATGTTACGATATCTATGGTCAGTTAAAAGGTATTTATGTATCTTTGGCAGTCACATGTAATCCAAGTCACTATTTGCATTACTTTATTTTCTTTTGTTCCTTATTTGGGGAATCTGCTTCCCAATCCTAAAATCTAAATCTTAAAAATGTACTTCAGTAACAATTGTTTTTAGGAATGATTGTGAGTACTCTTTTCAGCATAAGTGATGAGAGGAAATGAAAAGAATTGCTAGTTGGTGTTTGGTTTAGTAACAATTAAATCAAGTTTACCCCCAATTCAGTTTACATAGTCCAATTCCCCCTTCCACCTAGTTTTTGAGTGAAAAATTCTTAAGGTACGTGAACACAACCAGGTTGATAAGCTGTTGAACCTAACAAGCATTATGTTATTCTTGCTCTAGACTGGTCAAAGTGCTACATAGGCACCTTTTCAAGTCCTTGATTTATACAAAAGGACATGTACAGTTTAAGGGGTTTAGACAAGCCATTAAGTAAATTGTATAATTTCGTACTATATAAGGGTTCTTTGTCAGTATTGGGAGTAGTTTGTCAGCTTTATTCAATAGTTGAATATTCTTACATCCTTAAAAAGTGCGCTGTATTTTTTTTAGTTTGGAAAACAAAATATCCTGAGAACCTAATTAGCAAGCTCAATTCATCCAGGAAATATTGAATTATGAGTTCAGTTTTATTTATGTGAGGAACAAAACAGTGTCAATCTTGCGTCAAATGTGATTGGAGATACAAATAAAGAGGATTGGTGGCAAAAGTTTTTTCAAGACTTCCTGTGACCTTCATGATTTAAATTACAGTCAACAGGACATGATAAAACCACAAACACTTCCTTGAAGGAAATATCAAAGGCAATGTAAAAAAAAAAAACTTTCCTTAATTTTGGTCCTTGAAAGGACAATTATTTTGCTCTTAGGATCATAACATTGGTTTGGTGCTGTATAAATTGGGAAAATTTATTTCCAAAGAGACCACCTTTAGACTGATAAAAGCTGAAATTCTGAGATTTTACATGTGCAGTCAGTGATGGATGTAACATATTGTTTACGCAGTATAGACCACATTTTGTGGTCTCAAGGTAGACTTGTCATAACTAGGTATGCATGTATTAAGTATTAGTTGGTATCAAATGAAAGGTATTTTTTTTTTTAAGATTTTGAGTTTGAATTTTGAAGGTGATCAAACAGAGGAGGTTTTGAAGTAGTGCAGGTGTAAACATTGGTGTTTTACAGATTTACACATCTTGCAATGTTTTGTTGCTTTTTTTGATGTGTTGATGGAATGATATTTAAAAGAAATCAAGCTCTATTTTGAAAGTCATATAATTCTGTTTCTTTAGTTTCTTTAACTTCATTTCTTTTTTTTTTCATTAGGTTTTTTTGACAGAAATTCTTTGCATAACCTTTAAAGTGACCAGGGTCTAATTTCTCTAAGTTTAAGAGAATGAAGGAAATGATTGCCAGCCTAAGAAGCTTTGATTGTTAAGCAAATTCTCCCTGTCAGTACCAAACCACATTTCAGTCCTTTTTTGATGTCAAGTAGAATTTCAAACTTAATTTCACTGAAGAGGAACTAGATCTCCACATAGGGATCAATCTCAACTGCTTTGAGATATCATTTGTATACTTGCAAGTTTGTAAATTTTTTTGAGGAATAGTGTTTAACTGGTGCACAGGCAGGGTTTCAAAATACCTTTGTATGTTTTGAGAATCCAATCACATTATTTTTTGGAAAGGAAAAGTTTGCTATCAATTTCAGTGCTGCAATTTAATTAAATTATTATTTAGATAACTTTCTTGAAAAACATTCCTAGTTAGGTTTTTTTCAAGCTGAAAGCTACTTTTCAGTCGTGGGAAGTAAATTACCTTTAACAATTTGCGTCTTGTGCTCTGTATTATTAAACTGTAAATAACTTATCGAAAGCAAAGGGGATAGTTATTGACAATATTTTGTGACAAGGGAGTTTTCATTGGTATGGTGACAAGAAGAAGAAGAAGAGAAGAATTAAAAATGTGAACTGAAGAAATCTGGGCTGCTTTTTAATAGTGTTTCTTTTATTATGTATGCAGCTTATCCTAACCTCAAGTCTTCATGAGCAAACTAAGACCTTGTGTTCCAACAATGCTATCCACTGGATACATCTCTATCCTTTAGACAGTGCGGTATGTTTTGTTAACACTTAGCCACTGGATAGAGATTTATCTGTTGGATAGCTTCATCCACTCCTTGAACAACTGGGTTTTGAACTATGTGATTTTGCCTCTTCTAACCCACCAGAGAGATGACATCACAGCAATCATGGAACCCTCCTAACTGCTCTTGTGATCACAACAGTAGAATTTACTCTTTCCATGTTGTTTGGAAAGATACATGGAATTGCAATACGGCATCAGGTTCTGTGTCTGCTGTGTTAAGAGGGGAGGGGAGGGGAGAGGAAGGTGTTGAGTTTTGTGCAAGTATTCATATGACCTTCAACTGGATAAGAGAGTCTCACTACTTCATTTTTGGAGTCCTTTTCCCATATATTTTGTACATGCTACAAGAAGGGGTCATTCATCTAAGTTAAGCTTACAAAACTTACATCAGTATTGTCAGGCTTGTCCAATCAGTCAGCATATCTTATCTACTGATTAATTTAATTATTGGTGACGTAATCAATATTAGCAACTGAAAACAACATCCAAAGGTCAAGTTTAGAGTCCAGTCCAGGTCCCGTCCTTCCTTTCCAGCTGCCTAAGAAAAGGCTCAAGATTAGGACGATCACACCTCTTCAAGTGCTTCTCGATTGACATTACATCCCGAAATCCATTCATTATTTCATCAAGTCCACTCTGTACTCTTTTCTCAAAACTTATTAGGTCGATTCATGCGCCGACTGCCCCTTCCCCCTCCCCTGAAGGAATCCGCCCTCACCGGTGTTATTAATGGTACCAATTACGTCAAGAGAAGAAAATTATGAATTCCCTTTTTTATTTATATTTTTTAGTATTTCTGTGCCTTTCGGTCTTCCCACTGGTTCCTGTATCGATTTCCTGACTAACCTAAACGAATGCAGGTGCATAATCCTGTCCAGAGGGCAAAGAGGGGAATCAAGAACGAACTAAACTGCCGAACGTCAGTCTAAAACAATCTCCTGAGAACAAGCAAAAAAGGGACGTAAATTTGGATTTATTTGAAACTAGTTCTGAATTTTGCGTGAAGAATGCGTGTGTCCATGCCCATTAAAAAACCATAGACATATTTACATGTTTGCATAGGCTCATTGTGCGAGCTTGGACTTCCTGTGGCAATACCGTATTACGCCAAACGACGGCAGCGAAGGATATGAAGAGTTCCACTGATCTCCGTGTAGATACACAGCAAATGAGTCGGGTGACCACCCGGGTAGGGGTAGTCGTGACTAAGGACTGTTTGAGTGACAGCGACATCCAGTCATGTTGTCACGTTACTGTCACCTCCAAAAGTCTTTAACAGAACCATTCTTATCCGGGAGTCCACACCACATTATTAAGTTTTGCTCCTGGGCTCAATCAGCTTACAAACTAAGACGAAGCTATTTTTTCCTATTTCCTTTAATTTGGCTATGACTGTTTAAGATCTCATTCGGAGGCGTGGCTTTCACGTGAGGGTGGAAGGGGAGGTTAACACACGTTCTTATACTTCTAATATTAGAACTCGAAAATTTTACCAGCCCAAAGAAAAAACTACGTTAAAATAAGCTGTTCAAATGTGATGAGCCTTTCACCTAGGATGATGGCAAAAAAAGCGTTTAAATTAATTATAAAATAGAGAGCATTTGTCTCGCAGGATTTGTTTAAGACGTACCCTAAAGAGCTTAAGCTCTTCAAAACACCTTGAACTCTCCAATGATGGGAATCGTAAATCTTCTTAAATCCCAAGTACGAAAGCTGATACATGTCTTTGGCATCTTCGAGGCCTCCCGTCGCCATGTAAGCGTTGCCAAGGAGCTGTCTTGTCTCTGCAATTAAGTGTTCCAAGTTGGCACTCATGTCCATTCGAAGGAGAATGTTTAAGGCTGTCTTGTGCAAAAAAATCGCTTCTTCTAGCTCCCTCGAGGCGCTGTGGGCGGCTCCTAAACTGTTTAGGGCCGTCGCAACTGAGGTATGCCCCTCTCCCCAAGTAAGATTAAAGATATGCAGTGCTCTTTGTAAGACCATCTTGGCTTTTTGTCCTTCACCCAGACGAGTGTACACCACCCCTAGATCGTTTAAAGCCTCTCCAAGTATGAAGTGCTCCGGATCAAAGACCTTCTCCTTAATAGACGTGGAGCGTTCCAGAACAATCTTAGCCTTGCTTAAATGTCCTTGATCTCTGTACATGAATCCGAGAAAATTCAGTGCCTCGGCCACATGAGGGTGTAACTCTCCGTGAAAGTCCTCGAGTATTTGCAATCCACGTTCTGTATGTTGTGTGGCGTTATTGAAGTCTCCAAGCCGATAATAGACAGTTCCAATGGTGGTATAAAGCCTCCCCACGCTAGCATGACTTGGGCCATATATCTCTTGCAGCATGATCAATGAGCGATTATACAACCGCAGTGCATCATAGTACTTCCCAAGGCGGCTATAAACAACAGCTAGGTTAAGAAGTGAACCTGAAATATACACTCGGTGGTCCCCGGATAACTGCTTTAGTAGACTAAGTGACCACTCATGCGCAGACTGAGCAATGGCAAGGTTACCTAAGTAACGATAAATGATTCCGAGTTTATGTAGAGTGCTTGCCTTGCCTAAGAAAACCTCTTGGTCGTTATCACTGCTTGTAGTGTGTTCTCCTGTGCTGTTGTCAGTGAAGTTTGTGCGATAAAAATCAAATGCAAGCTCATGAAGATCCTTTGATCGGTAAGGATACCCTAAGCCACGGTACATCGCTCCTAAGATGTTCAAAAGAAGTGGCTTTGTTCTGTTTAAGACAACTGCATCGTCATTTACTTTTTTAATAAGTTGCGCAATCCCTGTCGAAGTCTTGTTTATTGCAGTCATGAAATGCTCTTTTTGCAACTTTGAGGCTCCGCTATGCAGGCTTAGAACAAGGAGAATTGTCTGTAAGTCAAACCGAGAGTCGTTGTTTGCCTGCAAGTTTGCCAGAGTCACTATTTCATTTAGTCTGAATTCGTTTGTTGTGGCCTTGATCAAACCTGGCCAATACCCAGAGTTGTGCGCAAAGAACCGCAAGAAGGTGTCTGAAAAACTGACTCTCATCACATCTTCCATCTTCAAGCCTTCCCTCGAGGAAAATATGCATAGCGAGGTCAGGATATCTAAATATTCAGAGCCAAAAACAATGTTAGATTCTGTTACCGTGGCGTTTTCCACGTTTAGCAAAGATGAGGTTGTGAAATTCAGCTGCCGCTCAAAGGATGAAACGAGTCGTTGAAAGACATCTGAGATCAGCAGCTGGCTGTTACTGAAATCTGCATTAGTACTGATCGTCAGATTGCAAAATGCTGAATTAAGGCAGCTCGGGTTATAACGACTTACCTTGCAAACGCGACGGAAAACTTCTCGGATTACCTGATGGGTGTGCAGAGTTTGGTGGTTCTCCTGACCCGCCACTTTAAAAAGCACGTTCCTTAAGGAGTTTCGGACTTGCGCTTCTGTGAATTGATGGCTCGAGTTCGTTTTCAAGAAGTCGAGGACGTAGGATAGACTAAGCGGCGACGTATCTGTAAATCCAATACAGGTGATTTCCCGAATCACTGGATCAATCTGAGCCGAATGCTTAACCGCTTTTAGAGCAGCGGTGTACATGGCAACATCGTACTTCGAAGCGTCGCTTTCTTGCCATTCCAGTTGCTCTTCCATTCCAAGGAATTCAATGTCTCGCTTGAACTCAGATATGTAGTTCGAATAAGAGTATGTAGAACGCTTGGGGGGACCTTGGCGTACGCTTTCTATGTAAATCGCCGCGGTTGCGACAGCGAGTGGTTGCCTTCCGAGAATAATCGCGAGTTTCTTAGCATTGTGCTCATTGTTTTTGTCTAATCCTGTAATTAGTTGCAGAAGTTTAATAGAATCATTTAGGGTCATACCCTCGTATAAATCCTGCACTTCTACGTAATCACTTAGTCTTGTCAAAGACACGCGCTTTTCTAGAGTAACGATAACTACAAAAGTCGTAAAATGCTGACTTCCCGGCTCAAGGTTAAGGTAGTTGAACAACCACTTCAACTCTCGCACGTTGTCGAAAATCAATACTGGGCGACTGTTTCGTTGTTTAAGAAGCTCGCAAAGTTTTGCATAATATATTTTAAGTTTCATTTCAGTTTTCAAATCATCTCCTTCTTTTGCGAACAAACCGCCAATTTTATGATCCAGCTCTTCTTTTAATTGTTTTATACCGTCCGTCTTTTCCGCTGAACTTTTGCTGAGTGCAGAAATTGAGTCGGCAAAGCTTGATATGAGCGAAGTGACAGTGGCAGCCTGGATTGTTACTATGTCAACCGGTCTACGGTCTTGCTTCAGAGATTCATTTAAACGAAGCCCCACTTGTCTAGCGAGTTCCGATTTCCCCGAACCTGGACCGCCGATCAAATACATGTGAACCTGCTTTCCATCATGTTCTTTGGACATTGCCGTTATCCGTCTCGTTACGTTCGAAAGTTCCTCCTCACGCCAAACCCATCGATGCCTTGGAGGCCACGAGACTCCGTTGAAATAAACGCTTGGTAAATCAGGTGGAAAAAGCCGCAGCCAAACATTAGTTGCATTGTCGTAGACTTTAAACAACTCAGGAGTTATCAAAACAAAATAAACCAATAGGATTACAAAAAGTATAAGCGATATAAAGCGAGCTGTTTTCGGGTGAGTCCTCTTTAATCGCCCGATATATTTTATCACTAGCCTAGCCAGCCTGAACCGTGTCACTTGACTTGAAAGTTCGTCCATGAAGTCCCAAAGATGACTTGCTAATGTAGGATTACTTGGTTGGGCTGCGGGTTTGGATTTTCGTACATTAGGTCCCCTTTTTATTCTAGTTTGGTTCACATGAACTCCAGTTGGAGCTGCATTGAGCGGCTGTGTTGAATATCTAGTGCGGCGAGATGTCTGGCTTCTGGTTAACACCATCTTGAACAAGAGAAGTATACCGATCGATGGAAACGTTCAACACAGTTATGTTGACTACGGAGAATGCTTTCACTTTAAAGAAAGCATTTGCCACGTTCCATCGCGCTGTTAATCAGTTTGGTAGGCAGCGTAATGCACTCCACACTCGCTAATTTTAAATCGGATTCGAGCTTGGTCAATCAATCCACTTGAGATGTCTCGAAATCCTAGGTCCAATGCATCACTGTCTTTCGTGACAGCAGGATAGCGGAATACAATTAACTTTAATTTTCCTTTGACGTCATTGCTTCTTCGAGTCACGTAACTGGTTACATTGCACGCTATTATGATTGAAAGGCCTGGGGATGAACACATTCAACTCAATCCGTTGTGAGTTGGACTGCTCATACTCTTTCCTTTTCTTTTCCTTTTAAATTTAAGCTGTCCATTTTCAATCATACCTCAATTTCGTAGCTTGTTTTCTTGCCTTGGCTTATTTTTACGTTATATGTGCAGGATCAAGGAACGAGCGCTGAACTTCCCGGTAGGTTCTGAAGTTGTTTACACCTAATTTTATTTTAGAAACCTACGTGTATCTTTGTGGAGAATCGAGGCCCTTTGATGTTCTTGTAAATAAGCTGTGATTTTTTCGTCCTCACAATTTACTTCAGGTTGTCTCAGCTTAGGAATTATTGAACTGTATATCACCGAGGACCCCTCGTGTCATTATCCGTTTCAATTAATGTCAATGAGCTTCGAAGGCGTTTCTAAATGTTTACTGTACTATAAACATTTAGAAACGCCTTCTCATGTCGTTGTCGCAGTTGGCCTTTGAGTCGCAGATAATTCTCTGAGGAGTTCTTTCTGAAGATATTTTGTTATTGTGGATTGCCTTTGGGAGAACACAACAGACTCGGCTCTATTACCTGCGATCCACTTGGATTATGATCATGATTCCATAGTTCTTCTTTGGAAAATTTGTTGTTACCTTTGCTGTATATATTGTATACTAAATGGTCGATAGTTTTTTTTTTTTATCGCTAGACTGTTGTTATAGAGGTTTCTTACACTAAATTATCCAATCTGTAGACAGGATGTTAGCTGGCTTTCACTGTAAGACTAGTCTGTAACAGGGGTTACTTACACCAACTGACCACTCTAGTCACACGAAAGCCCTTAATAACTTGGTTCAATTTCATTGAAATCGTTGGAATCGTTGTATGTGTCCTATTTATATGATAAGCTGAACTATGTGTGCATTTACATGGGTTCCTACTCATGATCTATTGCTTTTTGTTCATATAAAAGAAATAGATTCCATGTTTTGGTAGGTCTGTACAGTGACGGATCAGAGCTGAAGATTATCAATGACACTTGCCTATGCCTAGTGTGCCCCTTTTTGTTCTTACCATGTTTTGGTGTGATCTGTAGTCTGTTACCAAACAGGTGCACTGCAACATGAAATCTATTTGTTAAAATTCATTTCTGTAATCCAGCTGATTTTAGTGGCTGCAAAGTACCCAAAAGTGCTCAATGGGACATACTTTTTTTAGGCAATCCACATAATAAGACTTGCGGATGCTTTTGATGTTCAGGGGTTACTGGCAGCTGATGTTGTACTTTGCCTTTGAGCTTTTTGAGCTTTTTCACTTTGGTTAGTGTGAAAAATTCTGGATTGACTGATCTTGACTGAAGAGCCCTATTCATTAGTGTTATTAGGCTTAGAGGCCTTGTTCAAATTCACAAGGATTGCATTCTTTAATCCTTTAAACTCTAAGAGTGACCAACATCTAATTTCTCCTTACAGTAAGACTGCTAAATCATTTATTAAGATCATGATGATATAGCCAATGATTCCCAACCCAAGAAGTGTTGATTGTTATACAAATTCTCCTTATCAGTACTAGGGGAAATATACAAAGAAGAGTGTGAAGAACACGGATACTGATGTAAGGGTATAGTAGGTTAATGACACATAGTAAGGTCAGAACACTCAGGGAAGCAAATCACTTGGTGTGATGTCTGTTGCTGGAATGAAAATATTTTGAATTGAAATTGGTTTGAATTTTTGCTATGGCTGCAATTTTGAATAAAAGGACTTGTTTTCAGAGCAATGCATGAGGACACGCATGTTGCTTTGTTGCAGAGAACTGTAGCAGGGACTTATTACTGAGTGTGTCTTAGTCTACACTCTTTCAGTGCTACTGTTTACCCAAAGTCAAAGTGAAGCATGATAAGCTCTTTTACAGGGTTAGCGGTCTTGGTAATATACGCTTTGTGTATCACATAGCTAACCTAGAATAATTGTTTTATTTGAACATCTTAGCCTGATACACAAATGGGGCTGCACTTACTAACAAAATATGGCTGAAACCACAAGATACCCATTAAGGGTACAACCTGTGATAGATTTATCTCATTTGTGCAAGAAGTAATAATGGGTGGGGGGGGGGGAGGGCTTCTTGGGTCTATTTTTGCTGGGTATTTACCACTGGCCTCTCAAAACCCTTACCCCATTATTTGTTCAACTATAGACCCCATCAGTAGTCACATTTGGTAATATGGTGACAAAATTTAATGGCAATAATAATCCCTGCTTACCAGAATTTTTCTAACCCCAAAATGCCAAAAATGTGTGACTCCATGCTAGTAACTCTATTGTAAGAACAATCCCATTATAGTCAATCCACATAGAAAAGTGACCTCACTGAGCGGCATATCCCTGCTGGTCTTATTACAAGTAAGTACCACCCCATCCCCTCTCCCATGGAAGTTAGCCTGAAAAACCATTAGGAAGTGTGGCTTTTCCTGTGAAATCATTGAACAAGTAGAGTAAACCAAGCATTCAGGTAATTTGTTTAAAAAAAGAAAAAAAAAACTGTGAAAAAAAACTGTCAGAATTGCATACTTATTATTTCTCTTAATTGTCAGATGTAACACACTGAAGAGAGTGAAGCAGACAGAGCAGAGCCACCTTGTCTTCAAGATGCAGCAGTCAGCGACTAAAAAGAAAGCGTAAGAGAAATATGTTTTTCATTCTTGTCAGGTCATTTTGGGAAAAAAATTTATAGATACTATTCAATTCACGTAATTCTCCTTACTGTCTGTCATACAATTCTTATGATGTACATGTAAGTTTGGAGAATTTGGTATTGGATCAACTCTTAATCCCCTGATGTATTTTTTACTTTATTCTCATCAACTGTCTGCTTGATATTGTACTGATATTGTAAGTACAAGTTTTTTCAGCCACTCATGGGAGTTGAATGATTGACAAGATAACAAGAGTGTGAACACCTGAAATATCCCTAGAATGTCATGAAGTTGATATAAATAAGTGGATCAGATGTGCCATGATCAAACTTTTAGGAGTAACAGTGATTTGGTTTTATGACTTTGGTGATTGACTGTTGTCATGATCACCTTGAAGGCCCACAATCGATAATGGTCATTGCTTAATGGATTTTCTGAATATGTGTTTGTTTTGATTGTGACAGTTTAATAAAACAATGAGCAGTTTATGTTCTTCCAAGGACATAAATATGTTTGGGCCCTGCCACAGATTCATTTTAGCAAAAAATGCTATGGGAGGTTTAAATTGACTTGGGCTCAAAGAAATAAAAATAATGAAAAGAAGTGACTAGAAAACAGTCTCAATAATCATGCCAGCAGGCTAAAGTAAACTGTAGCCTGCAAAATGCACCACAATGCCATACAAAGTGAATGAATGGCTGACTCATTGTAACTCTCTGAATGCATGAATGAATGATAGAATGAACAAAGAACTGAATAAAATTAATGAAATGAAAGTTGTAGAAAATATTGAAGAAAAACAAACTGAAGTAGAGGATTTACTTCCTTAAACTGTGAAATTTCCATAAAATTACTTTTTTTTGGTGTTACTTTTGACAGAGATTTGAAAGTGATCATTCTTGGTGATACTAGTGTTGGAAAAACCTCATTGATCCAAAGATATCTTAATGGAGTCTTTACAGGAGATACTATCAGTGTAAGTGTTTTATAAGAGCTTCAGAAAAATTACCTCTTTAAGAAAATAACAAGGTTGAACCTTGTACAATACACAACTTTCACCTACCAACATGTACCCTGAAGCTCAGTGTTAGTCAGAGAACCCACAAGGTAATCAAAAGTTAGGCTGTGGAATCCCTATTGGTAACTGAATCTTCATCTTTTCCCCCATACCCTTTATTCCTATTTTCATAATTTTAATGCCTTTTCAAAATTTTCTCTTTCTTGATTACATTGCATTGCTGCATTGTTAAGTTTATCCCAGACCTATCACTCAGCAAACTGCAACAGTGAGCACATGAGGGGCTGACAGTTGGTCCATGAATGACCGAACACTGGTTGACAGACCACCAGGAATAAGTTCTTTAATCTTACCAACCCCTACTGGCTACAAGAAATTTATGGCCATATAGACTATATGATTACACCACATGTAGGTTTATATGAGACATTTAATGCCTAAAATTGTCAAATTTGTTTTGGCTGAAATGCTTTAACTGTCATGTCTCCCACAGACTATTGGAGCATCTTTCTTTCTAAAGCAGTGGGGACCATACAATGTTGCCATCTGGGTAATGGTGTTTATGTGTATTCTATAGATTACTAAACAATTATTCCATGAGCACGCACTGGATATGGGATGATAGATAGCCGCTGTAGAATGCTGAGTTGGCCATAATCATATCATATCCTACTAGTGCAAGTGGATTAATTCTTTCATCAAGAACGCCCCCAAACATGGATAAACCTTCCCAATTTTAACATTAACTCATTTTCATGTTATAATGGCTCATAACACATATGGCTTGGCCAATGAAAACTTTTGAATTGCATTATCCAATGATCCAGTTTTGAATAAAAGCAATTACTGTGAAATGATTGTTAATTATCACTTTTAGAGCAAATTTGATATAGACGTCGAAAAACCAAAACTAAAGCTATCACATGGCCAGTCAGGTTAAAATCATCATCAGCCAAAGGGAACTCAAAGCGAAGAAAACCAATCTACCAAAAGCGTGGGAAAACACAGGTGTTTGGTCACACGTGGCACTCGGTTTACTTCTGATTGGTTGAAAGAATACCACGAGTTTTGTAGAACAATCACAGAGCGACGTTTAACAAATTCAAGGTAATCCCGGATTACTTTTGAAACCCAATATCAAGCAGCCATTCATTAACTTGAAAAAGTTGTCATCGTTGCCTTTCGACGTTATCAGTGCTTCCGGTCGAGTCATTATTTTACGACTTTTTTAAGGTTTCCAGTACACATAACAGGTGATCAGGATCAAAATGGGATCTCCTTTTTCCAACAGTACTCCAGTTTTGGAGAACTGGTGTGTATTCCATAAGGAAAACAAAAAAAACATTTTTTGTTTACAGGAAAAAACTGTTAAAAGGTTGTACAAGGGGGGAGCGGATGGAGGGGGAGGAGGCAGCGGATGGAGGGGGAGGGGGCAGCGGATGCTCAGCATAGAAGATAAGAAATAGGCAAAGAGTGCCTGTGGAAAGATGTTTCATCGAAAGTGTAGTCAGCATACTTAAAATAATTTTTTCTTTTTCGTTTTAGGACACGGCAGGTGAAGAGAGATACTCAGGCCTGTCTTCATTTTACTGTCGGGGCGCTTCAGCAGCTATTCTAGCTTATGACATTTCACAGGGCAAATCTCTTCGCGCGCTAAGGGAGCGCTATCTACAACTGCTGGACGCATCCGAACCAAACTGTCTTGTGGTGGTAGTAGGCACAAAAAAAGATATTATAACGAGCAGTTCTCGGGAAATTCCATCCTCCGCTGGCGAAATATTAGCTTTGGAACTAAATGAAAAGAAGGGAAGACCTACCGGTAGTTTTAACGAGAAACCATTCTTTGAAACGAGTGCAAAATCTGGTGAAAACGTTCAGAAAGTTTTTGATTTTATATTGAACACCTGTTTGCCTTTGGACGATGAAGAAACTGCAAAGAGGTCATTGCGACAAACGATGGGCATTGATCTTGAAAATAAGTCACAGACGCAAAACGAAAGTACGAAGAAATGCTGCTGAGAATATCCAAAGCCACAATCCTAACCTAGGTTTCGAACGATTGGAAATGTTATTCAGGGAATGGAAAATAATTACCGCGATGAACTCTGCGTCTTATACCACGATCAACTGGTAACTTTTTGATTGCAAGCAATTTTTCTTAAAATTTCTTTTCTTTTGATTGAATGAAAAGAGTCTACGGCAACTGGGACATCGGTTGTTGCAGAAAAGATCCTCTACGAAGTAGCCCTATTTTGCATCTGATTTTATCTAGAGACGGTTCTACTTGGCATAAGATGGTGGTTGGTGTGGGCCTTTGCAGGCAGGCAGTATGATAGAGAGGGGCCTGTGTTTCCTATCAAAAAGCGACGGCTCTTTCAGGTTATACGTTAAAGTTTGTAACCTCTGCCCCCTTCACAATAGCGAAACATGTTTGGTTCAACAGAGTTTAACCAAGGATATATGTAAACAGTTTACATTCTCTTGGTTTAACAGAATGAGAATTCGCAATAGAAAATGGAAAACCGAAGTTTACATTTGGTTCAAGTAACACTAACTTTTGTAATTTGAGGTCGA